CTATAACTCCCAGAGCGTCCTTCAACAAATAGCATCCAAACCTAAGAGACATCGTACGATCAAACTCAGGGACAACCACTTCCGAAAAAGCAACATGAACCACTGACCACTAAATAGACAACATAGAGTTCTTATACACCTTCAAGGCCACTGTACTATTGACCACTTCACAGGACTCATAAGAATCAAAGTATTCTCTTCGTTCTTGATCATACATAGAAAAGTTTACCCAAAACTGAGCGAAGCTTTTCGCTGAACATATAGAAGTTTCGATGCAATTAAATTTGATCATAACTAAAGTAGACATCTCAAAATCATCACAAACACTGACAATCCAGGGGCTAAATAAATTGTATAACGAAAGAAAGATAAAACTTAAAATAATAGTAAAACAAACTTGAATATTCTTTTTCCAAACTGTCCTAGACACGTGTTCACTCCATGGCGGTTGTTCCGGAGGACGTCAGGTCATCAGTTTTGCCTCTGTCTGCAACAATCTACCCCAACCTTGTGCTTCACAACCGCTCCCTGGTCCACTCGGCCCCTCAACCGCAACGACGACGCCAAAGCCTACCTTCCTGTTTGCAGCCGCATGCCCTTTTGCAGAGGGAACCAATCCACCAGCCGAGCTCTGCATCAACCCTTGCAATCACAAGAAGAAAACAGTCACTCAAAACCTAGCCATGCCGACGAAAGATATTGCGACACCAAAAATCCATTCGCAAACAAGTTGCGCCTTCCACCACACCTACATATGAGATTGATGATAAACTTTTTATAACGTACATAACCGCAGATGATAAAACTTCAATATTTGTTGTACAAGGTTAGTGTCTTTGGTTTTACTTAAATGTAGTACATGATTATTTTGATTTTCTCACCACGAGGTCATTTCGATATCTTTGTGATACATATATAATGATTTTAAAGTTTGGATTTTGATCTTGATTAGAAGTCAAAAAACATTCTCCATTTATCAAATAATGACAAAACTCAAACAAGTGAATTTAATGTAGACGGGGTGTTGGAAGACAGGCAAGGATGGCGACGATAAACGACCGATAAGTGATGGTGATGTTGGACGGCCGACAAGAACTGCCAAAGCTCTAGAGGCTAGATCTATCGATAAAAGTCGTGGATTTTCGATCGTCTGAATGGCGATGAGGGTAGCTGAAGGCGACGACGGCAGATTTCATCTTGACGAAAAAGACAGTCGGCAAAAAAATAAGCCCAGGCATACCTACGCACAATTCAAAGGTCGGAGATGACAATTTTATTAATTGAGAGACTTAAAGTTTATACATATTACAAAAATATCTGATTGTACTATCCTTAAGGCACAACCGGATGTACCTTATAATTTGTATAGTCACGTACAAAAGACTATATACTACTCTCCCGTCCCGCTAAGATTGTCTCATTTTACCTTTTCGGTCCGTCCCACTAAGATTGTCTCATATCAAATTTGATAAATTTTGTGTGACTCTAAATTATTCTTACTTTATTTTTACTTTATCAATTCAATATCAACCACATAAATCACTTTTATTGATTTGTGTGACACTTCCTCTTGTCCTATTGTTAGTGGGACGAAAGAAGTATATATTTAGAATATTTTTACTTGGACTGATTTGAGTGACAAATTAAACTATACTGAACTTAAACAAACAAGATCTGACCAAACTAGATAAAAATATCCTACTAAGAAGCTGTTCTGTTCGTCTTAATCTTATTATTTATTGCTTATTCTTACTTTATTCAGATCAGATCAGATCAGATCAGAAAGATTCAGATCAGATCAGAAAGATTCAGATCAGATCAGAAACATTCAGATCAGATCAGGAACATTCAGATCAGATCAGGAACATTCAGATCAGATCAGGAACATTCAGATCAGATCAGAAAAGTTCAGACATGATTTATCCCTTTTATTATAATAATAATTATAATAATAATAATAATAATTATTATTATTATTATTATTATTATTATTATTATTAATTTATTATTATTATTCTTGTTGTTTTTGTAATTATTATTATTATAATTACTATTATTATTGATATTATTATTATTATTGTTGTTGTTGTTATCATCATTATTACTATGATTACTATGATTATTATTATTATGATTATTATTATGATATTTATTATTATCATGTTTATTATTATTATTATTACTATTATGGTTGTTGTTGTTATTGTTATTAGTTTTTTTGTTATTATTATATTATACAGAGTAATTACAATTAAAATTATAGAAATAAATATTATAATTATAATTAAAATTTAATAATTATAGAAATAATTATAACTAAAAATATAATTATAACGTTTTTTTGTTTACTCCAGGAGGCGTCTGGGGGCTCGGGGGGGGGGGGGGGGGGGGGCTGAAGTAAACTAGGTTGAAACTCACCACATTGAGTTTCGAACCCGAGACCTCCCATAAAAGAGAGTGAGTCGGCGACCAGCTGAGCTGGACCGCTTCCTCTAATTGTAAACTATATTTATAACTAGTGTAATACGTATAATAATAATTATACCTATTATAATTATGATTATAATTATAATTATAATTTTTTAATAATTATGATTATAATTATAATTATATTTAAATTATATATATGTAATTGCATTTCTAATTATAATAATTATAATTATAATTATAAGTTTAGAAATATTCAAATCAGATCAGAAGGATTCAGATCAGATCAGAAGGATTCAGATCAGATCAGGAACATTCAGATCAGATCAGGAACATTCAGATCAGATCAGGAACATTCAGATCAGATCAGATCAGATCAGATCAGAAAAATTCAGATCAGATCGGATCTTAAAAAATTCAGATCAGAAACATTCAGATCAGGTGAAGAGAACAGATTCTAAAACAAGTACACGTGGTCATCACCCAAGAATGAAGAGTCCCTATATCGTACACCCGGGTGTACGTACATCCAGCCCAATTGTTAAATTTGACTGGTGGGCTCCTTCACTAAAAAAAATTAAAAACCCCAACGGGATTCGATCCCGCAACATGAAGTAGGATAAGCGGCCTTCCAACCATCTCGCTGACTATATAGTTTCATATTGCATATTATTAATAGTAATTATAATATTAACTATTCTTTTGCTTTTGCTCATTATTACTATATTAAAAGACTAATTCATATTTTTGAAGTATTTATTTGATCTATGTATCATACTATTACTTTATATAAATATGTTTATAATTTTTTTATATGGTGTTAGTGAGATGAAAATCACGACTTCTGGAGATTGAGTAATAATGAACTTTTAATGAGCACCAGACCTATTCTGTTGAGCATACTGAATATACAAATTGATATGTAAGCATACTCGAGATTTTAAATGAGCTTTTAAATTTTTTCTATGCTCATTTTGTAAATTAGATATGCTCATTTGATATTGGTGTAATGCTCATTTTAAAATGAGCATTACACGAGACAACTTAAATGTCATATCCATGCATATTAGCTTAATGCTCATTTTAAACTTTTTGACACTCATTTCACGTTTTATATATTCACATTTAATATTTGAGCATCAAACATCCGCTATTGAGATGAAATTCACGGTTTCTAGTGAATGAGCAATAATAAACGTTTAATGAGCATCATACCCATTCTGTTGAGTATTAGGAGTCTAATATTGAGAATTTTGATCTCCACTTCATAACTTCTAATTCACTTTCTTTTTGTTATTTTTTCTTTTATAAAATTTTATTAAATTATATTTATAATCAACTCATGTTAATTTCAATATGTGAATTAATGTAAAATAGTACTTTAAAAAATGCATCAATATGACATTTAGAAAATGAGCATAAAATCTCTACCAGATGAGCATACGTAACTTACAAAATGAGTATTAATGAATTTGTTAGCTGCTTTGTTATTTGAACATCACGACATTTTCATTGAGTATCAAACATCCTCTATTGAGATTGATGATAATCATGATTTCTGTAAAATGAGCATTAATGACTTTTTAATGAGGATTCGACCTATACAAATGAGCATGCGTAACTTACAAGATGAGCATCGATATGAACATTGTAATTTTTTCGTTGAACATTTTACACTCGCATTGATATGTCATTTTACATATGAACATAAAATTAGTACCAAATGAATATGTGTAGCTACACAATGCGCATTGATAAAAAATCGTGTTAATTGGACATCACTATATTTTCATTGAGCATCAAACCTCCTATATTGAGATGAAAATAATGATTTGTATTAAAAGAGCATTAATGAATTTTTAATGAGCATCAGACCTATACAAATGAGCATATGTAACTTACAAGATGAACATTGATATGGAAAATATAAGTTTTATTCGTTGAGCATCAAGACATTTTCAATGAGCATCAAACCTCCGTTATTGAGTATTAGAATCTGCGATTGAGTATCATGATTTGTGGTCTCGTGTCTATAATGAACTCTTATATAAATCTAATAATGTAATATGAGACTTTTGAAATGAGCATTGCTAAAACATTTTAAAAATGAGCACAACAGATATACTAAATGAGTATACATAATTTACAAAATGAGTATTAAAAAATTCAAAAGCTCATTTATGTATTTTCATTTTTTAGACGTTTTACTCATTTGAGTTTAAGGAAAAACTCATTTCTAATTTGCTTAGTATAATGTATAAAAAAGAAGAACTAAACAACAAAAGAAACGAAAAGAAGCAAAAAAGTAAAAGGCAAAACAAAAGAAAAGTAAAATAGCTAACAGTAAAAGTACAGAAAAACAAACAAAAAAACAACCCTAAAACGTAACAATCAAAATGGATGACGGCAGAAAATAGAAACGAAAGGAAAGAGGATGGAGAAAGAAAAGAAAGGAAAGAGGATGGCGGAAGAAAAGAAAGGAAAGAGAACGCCGGAAGAAAAGAAAGGAAAGAGAACGACTGAAGAAGGGAAAGAAAAGACGAAATATGGGGGACATGTCATTACAAACCTGGCGTACATCTACACGCGGATGTATAGTATAATCCGCGAAGAATGAATATGAAAGTATGAAACTACTAACGCGCCAAACCTGGCTCTCCAGTAACCTCCTCATACTGCTGACCCGCCAAATTCCACCCGCCACCAGCCGCTAACGCTATCGCCGACGATGGGAAAGCAGAAACAACAATCCATTTCCCGTTTTTTCGCGTCAAAGTCAAATCCCCCGACCCCTTCTCCGGCGTCAACCTCTCCTCCTCAATCACAATCTGCTCGCACGAATCCACCCACGCCGCCGCCCAAAATCACGGCCACCGTGAGCTTCTCGCCAGCCAAACGTCTCAGAACTTTGGAGATCGCGTCCCTGCAATCAAAACCCTCCAAATTTCCAAGACTTGGTTCTTCACCCCATGAACCCACCCAAAACCCTAAACTCTCACCCATCACACCCAACCCGACCCCTCCCCAGTCCAGCGCTACTCTTCACAAGCGGTTCCTGGAAAAACTTCTGGAACCTTCTCAAGAACTCTCAGTACTTTCCAAAAGAACTCAACTTTCCAATTCTAAGCACACTCCATTAGAGCAACAAGTGGTGGAGCTTAAGGCCAAGTACCCAGATGTTCTTCTGATGATTGAGGTTGGGTACAAGTATAAATTTTTCGGTGTGGATGCGGAGAATGCTGCGAGAGTATTGGGCATTTATGCATACATGGATCATAATTTCTTAGTTGCTAGTGTACCAACTGTTAGACTTAATGTCCATGTGAGGAGGCTTGTGAGTGCGGGATACAAAGTGGGTGTGGTTAAGCAAACTGAGAGTGCTGCTATAAAGTCCCATGGATCAAATAAATCAGGCCCTTTTTGCAGGGGATTATCAGCACTGTACACAAAAGCAACTTTGGAAGCAGCAGAGGATTTGGGGGGTGGAGAAGAGGGGTGTGTAACTTGTAACAACTATTTGGTTTGTGTTGTTGAGAAGGCGATTGAGAATGTGGTTGGGGTTGATGTGAAAGTAGGCTTTGTAGGGGTCGAAGTTTCCACAGGTGATGTTGTGTATGGTGAATTCAATGATAATTTTATGAGGTCAGGCTTGGAAGCTATGATTTTGAACCTGTCTCCATCTGAATTGCTACTTGCAAAGCCTTTATCTAAAAATACAGAGAAGGTAGTTGTTAATAACATGGTAATCTTGTCTTTAAAAATTAAATCAGTATTCTCTATTTTGATCAACAAATTATCGCTATGTATCATTTAATATTCTGCACAGCGGGGGTTGCTACTCATCTTTCGTATTTTGTTCTAATTATAGGCTATTACTATGTAATCTTATATATAATGTTTACTCTTTCAAGAGGTTAACTTGGAATGTTGAAATGCTATCTTATTGTTGTAACTGAAGGATTAGGCAATGTTTGATGAATAGTCTGTCAGAGAGATTGAGCTGTTTGGGAATGTCAAAGAACTAATTTTAGTGTCTGGTAAACATCATATATATTTATGCGTAGTACCAAAAATAGATCATTTTGAAAAAGTTTAAGGTTTTGGTACTTCTAAAGATTACCATGTTGGCTGTAAACAAGTACTCCCTCCGTCCCCCTATAATTGTCCCATTTTTCCATTTTGGGATGTCCCTCCCATGGCCCTATTATTGCTCCATACCATATTTGGTGACATTTGTGTGGATCCAATTCATTCTTACTTTATTCCCACTTTATCAACTCATTATCAACCACATAATTCTACTTTTCTTAAAAACCACACCACTCCCTTCCGTCCCAATATTAGGGGGACGGAGGGAGTACTTACTATTATTACCTTGTTGCCCTTATATGTAAACTTAGCACTTGCTATTTAAACACTTCATTGACTACTCTTATCAAACATCTCTGCATAAATAACAGAAATAAAAGTCAGTCAACACCGCTAGTATAACCGTTAATGCAAACTACTAATGAAAACAACTAATTGCCAAATGTGGCATTAAGCTTCTATTTTTGCAGACCTTGGATGCTCTATGTCAGTTGGGATTCAAGCTAAAAAAATGTTTACATAAGCCCTTAAGCTTCCCTTTTTTCTGACTGATGCTCCTTGGGGATAAAATCTTAAAAAATGTATACATAATTGGCTCTTTGGTTTTCTGTTAAAAATCTCACCTTTTCAGTGCTTATAATGCCAACTATCACCCGTAAACAAAAATAATGCATACTTTATAAATTATTTTTTATTATACCAACTATTTGAAAATATAACAAAGTGATACAGAAGCACTTTTTGACTATAAATCAAGTTATTTAATCTGTCAAAAAAACAATACTAAATCATCAAATAAAACGTTTTTTGAATTGGTCTCACCTATTTGATTATTTGATACTAGTATAAGTTTTCAATGGGTTAAATAACTGCATTTGTACTTGGAAAGTGTCTCACCAAACTGTCTGCGCTTCTTTGTTATGAAGCAGCAGTCAGTCCATGCAATTTTGGACGCGATTTTCATTATGGGTCATCCGGAAACAGTCTCTCTGTGCTTTAGTACAGGGGTAAGACTGCGTACATCTGACCCCCCCTTACCCCACCGTAGGTGGGAGCCTTTGCGGCACTGGGGTAAATGATGATTGATTTTTTTTATATAGCTGGTATTATCGGAAATGATTTCTGAATTATGAAATATTTTTTGTCTTGCGGTGATAGTTGGTATTATATAAAGTCATTCTCCCTTGATTTGTATGTAATAAATAAATAATGTCTTGTTTTGTACAGTTGTTACTGGCATATGCTGGACCAAGTACAAATGTTAGGGTGGAAGATGTCTCAATAGATTGCTTCAGGGACGGTGGTGCCCGTGCTGAAGTATTGTCTCTTTATGAGAAGATGAATATAAACAATTCAATGCATACAACTGAAGATGCACCAATTTCAAGACAAACCAGTAATCAGTTTGCAGTAAAGGTAAACTCTTAGTGTCTAAATCATGCATGTAGTTTATGTGCACCTTAAAAACATTCCATCGGTATATGTTTCCCCAAACTAATTGCTTTGAAATATTTTTTAAAGGGAATTATGGACATGCCTGATTTAGCTGTCCTATCATTAGCATTGACTATTAATCATCTTAAACAATTTGGATTGGAAAGGATTATCTGCCTGGGAGGTTCATTTCATCCTTTTACCAGTAAAATGGAGATGACTCTTTCAGCAAATGCACTTCAACAGCTTGAGGTGAGTGCTTCCATCTATCAATAAGGTATTAAGATGAATTATTTGTTTGGTTTTTTATCTGGAGAGATGTGTGCTTTCTAGTGAATGAGACTTTAGGTGAACATATATGTTGCTAGTTTGACCGGCTTTAAGTACAATCAGTAGTGCAGCAGTATTGTAGGTGTACATTGCCTTCCCCTTCATACACAATTTTAGCATCCTTTTGGATCTCAAAGTATACTAGGGAAAGAAAATATGATGGAAAATTAAGTAGAAATTTCACAAAGGGAAGAAATCTTTAAAGAAAAATACATTTGTAGAGAAAATGGCATACATTTGAATGGTTCGATAAATTGTTTTGGATATTTGTTCAAACTCAATTTATTTATTTATATAAATATTAATAAATCTGAACACATTTTAACATTTTAAAAGCATTAATCATATTCTGATTTCCTTACGATTTCTTTAAGCTAAAGCCTAGCATAAAGAAAGCACCTTTCATTGTAATTCTTTTCCTTTCCATAACATTTTCCAGGATCCAAATATATGCTTACTGTGTCTTGCAGGTTTTGAAGAACAACTCTGATGGATCAGAAGCTGGCTCATTGCTGCAGTGTATGAATCACACACTTACCATGTTTGGTTCAAGGCTGCTCAGACATTGGGTAAGAAAGTGTATTTTCCACTAATATCTTATGGTTATACTTTTTTTTTTAAATGTTAAAACTAATATGTACAACTTGTTATCCCACTTCTGCTGCAGGTGACTCATCCTTTATGTGACAGAAACATGATAAATGCTCGTCTTGATGCAGTTGCTGAGATTGCAGACTCTATTAAATCTTTTAAACCTTCTTGTAAATCTGACTTAGATGAAGATGATGTTGGCGTCACAAATGTACAACAGCTAGATACTCTCAATTTACTCACCTCAGTTTTATCCACTTTAGGAAGAGTGCCTGACATTCAACGTGGTATAACACGAATCTTTCATCGAACAGCATCTGCATCTGAGGTGATAATAGGAAAATGTATATAAAAATATTTTTAAATAAATACTTCCGTTTTGCAGAGCTCCCAATCTTGAGTTTTTGAATGGAATGACATGCCGTGCATATGCTCCCTCCAGCACTCCACCCCCCCCCCCCCCCCCAAAAAAAAATGTTGTCCTATTTGGGTGAGCTACAAATTTTTAGTTGACTCCATCAAACTAGAAGCATTCACAATTTATGAATGGCCACTTATATGTTTAAGACATGTAAAAGAAGTGTAGGGGACATGTTTTTTGGACAATTTTGTGTGACATACTTATGCGTATCATTGGTTTAGAGCCTGTTTGTGATAGCTTATGGTATATGTGCGTTTAATCCATTTACCATAAGTGATTTCTTATTTATACACTAAAGAAATGTTAAGTACATTTCTTCTTCTAAGAAGCTCCTATTCCGTGAAAATAAGTCATACCAAATGTTGTCTTTACTTTCGAGTGGATCCGGAATTCTAACAAGTCATTGAGTCATGCACATAAGAATGTTACTTGAAAAAGTAAAAATTTGTCTCCCTATAATTTTTCAAAACTTATTTCTCATTTTATTTGGAATAAATGACTAAAACCACTTACTTCTTGGTGAAGTTGACTTTAAGTGGACTTTTTAGGACAAAAAAGGTTTTGACGTGTTTTTTATTGGGGGGGAGGGGGGAGGGGGGGGAGGGTGTATCCATTATGATGTAAAGTTTATGTGAAGATAAAGCACGTGATAAAGCGCGCCCTTTGACATTAGCCACTGCAACAGTTTATTGTAGTTATTCAAGCTATATTAGTAGCTGGCAAACAACTTCAAAAACTTCATATAGAAGAGGACAAAAGCAGCATGGGTGGAGGCACTATTCACTCTTCATTGTTACAAAAGCTGATAGCAATTGCTTCCTCATCCAGTGTCATGAATACTGCTGCAATACTTTTGTCAAACCTAAACAAGGAAGCTGCTGATCAGAGGGATCTTCACAATCTCTTTATCATATCTAATGGGAAATTCCCAGAGGTTCAAAAGAAGAGTTCCATCTTAATTATTCAGCCTGTATTGTGTGTGTACCCTGCATGTATTCACGAGTTTCTGACCCTACAATGTTTTATTTGTTTACTAGGTAGCTGAAGCACAAAAAAGTGTTGAATTGGCAAATGAGAAATTAGGTTCACTGATAGCTGTATATCGAAAACAGCTCAAAATGCGCAATTTGGAATACATGACTATATCTGGAACAACACATTTAATAGAGGTATGTGGGTCAATGTCGTTTAGCTCTAAACTGTGATAATAATTGTGTTCCTCAACATTTATTTTATATCTATGATGTATATAATACTAATTCAAATTTATGCTCATTTAAATTTGGTAAATACTAATATCAATCTCTGTTCACGTTTACCAAAGCACAAATTTGAGTTTCACGTTTACCAATGCACAACTTTGATGATCAGTATATTTGGTTATCTATTATGGAGTATTATTTTTTTAATGTTGACATTTTCAAAATATATATTTAGATTAGTTTAATATCATTTATATCTTAATTTTTTTTATACATTACTAAAAAAGTAGGGTTAAATAGCTTATGTGAGTAGTGCAGAAGCCAAAACATTGCAATTTTAAAAACGGGGAAGTGTTAGTTCTGTCTTAGAACTTTTTGTCCTAGAATTAATGAGTCTTTTTCATGAACTTTTTCAAGAAAAGAATGAGTCTTCTTTTAGAAATAAACGAGTCATCTTTCCAAAACCTTTGTCGTAGAAGAGCGTGGTTTTAAAGTCAACTTCAACTTTCAAGTAAATTTTTTGTAAAGCCAGAGCAAGCGGTTTTAGTCAGTTACATAAAAAACTCAGGGGACCAAAAGACCATTTATTTATAACTTCTCAAAGCTTGTACCTTGAGTGAGTTGGTTCAAATAAAAAGTTTTAACTTACTCAACATTACGTTTTGTAAATAATAACCGTAGCAAGTTTTACAAATACTAGTATACTTCCTATGTGCCACTAATTGTGACCAGCTTTAACTATCACGTGGAATAAGGAATTAAAGATTATGTGGTTGAGCTTCGTGGAGATGATAGAGAAATAATATTTTTGAAGGGAAAGTGGGCAATTTTCCTGCTACAACCAAATATGGAAAGTTGACAAAGTATAATGATACCGAGTATATGAAAAGCTATAATAAGTAGTTTTAATCAATTGTTAAATAGTGCACCCCACATCATTCTTTTAAATTTTATATGGAGTAGATTCTTGATACATATTAGTGGAATGCTATAAGAATTACTCCCTCCATTCCACTATCTTTCTCCCATGTTTCTTTTTTCATTCATCCCACTAAGTTTGCCCACTACCATATTTGATTATATTTCTGTGGTTCAAGCTCATTCATACTTAAAAAAATACGGAGTAATTCTTTGCTTGATATGTGTGCCACTTTCCTATGTCTTAAAGATAGTGGGACAAAGGTAGTAGTAATATATGTTAAATAGAAGATTGTTCATTACCAATTCGTACTTTACCTTTTACTTCAATGCATGGTTTTAGAAAAAAAAAGATGAGGCATTCTAATTATCACATTAATTTTGTCATTAGCATACATATTCTGTTTGAGATTCATCTTCCAGATCTAACTTAATCTGGATTGAACTGCAGTTACCTCTTGATGTTAAGGCGCCCCTTGATTGGATGAAGGTGAATAGTACGAAGAAAACAATACGATATCATCCACCGGAAGTAGTTACATTCACAGAACAGTTATCATTGGCTAAGGAGGAGCTCACTGTTGTTTGCCGAGCTGCATGGAACGAATTTTTAACAGCATTTGGTGAACACTATGCTGATTTTCAGGCAACTGTTCAAGCTTTAGCTTCACTGGACTGTCTAAATGCACTTGCCATCCTTTCAAGAAATGAGGTTAGTTATTCTTGTGATAATCTTAACCTAAAGTCCTAAATATCTTATAGCTAATTTGGTAAGAGAGTTATTGAATTTTCTGAAAAGAAAAGCATCATCATCATCATCATTACCCCAGTGCCGCAAGGCTCCCACCTATGGTGGGGTAAGGGGGGGGGGGGTCGGATGTACGCAGTCTTACCCCTGTACTAAAGCACAGAGAGACTGTTTCCGAATGACCCATAGTGAAAATCGCGTCGAAAATTGCATAGGCTGACTGTCACTTCATAACATAGAAGCGCAGACAGTTTTCGTAAAGCATTTCAGCCATATAAGTGTGCCAAAAGCAATTTCTTCTGCTTCTTTTAAAGCATAATAACCCTTTTTTGGCTACCCTAAAGGTTCTAAAAGCATATAGCTCATGAGCTTATCCATATGAATTTGTTATTTTCTGTAGAATTATGCACGTCCAGTCTTTGTTAATGATGATGAACCTGTTCAGATACATATCTCTGCTGGTCGTCATCCGGTATGCAAAAGTTATTGTATATGATGTTATTGATCAATGTATTGGATTATAGTGTCATCGTTACTTGTAAGTTGCTCATATTTGCCAATTTCAAGCAGGTTTTGGAAACTGTGCTGGAAGATAATTTTGTCCCAAATGATACAAAGTTGCATGTTGAAGGCGAGTACTGTCAAATTGTAACTGGACCAAATATGGGTGGAAAGAGTTGCTATATTCGGCAGGTTGCTCTTATAACTATCATGGCTCAGGTTAGACAACATATTATGGCTACTTCTGTGCGCTTTGGTTAATTCATTACTAACCATTACAACTTACTAGCACGCTGCATACCCTTATTTCAGGGTTGTTTCTTTATCCAAGTAATAATTTAAAAGTTTAAATCTAGTTGCCAAGTCGCATGGGTTTTAAAGAGGATATCTTATGTACAACTTTAAACCTTCAATCCATCCATGATCCACCCAAAAACACTATATCCCTATTGCTAGGTTTTATTCAGGGAACATTTGGATCCCATATAAAGCTTGGTAAAGGAAAAAGAATGTCAAGGATAGTTATTTGGTTATGTTGGGCCTAACGGCCCTCACCTTGGGAAATGCCAAGGAAAATGAAATATAATTAATGCTTTAAAGAATTAATATTTCTTAACTTTTCGCGTTTTCTATAGCAGAAGTAAATAAATAAATAAATAAATAAATGGAGTTTGCACAAGAATTTAGGTTTAAGTATATTAACTTTGATCTTGAACATTTGTGTTATTTTGCCCCAAGTTTTAATTCCTTCCTATTATGTTCTCTACATTCCTTTCTACTTTCTTTCTTGAGTATATTTCACGTTCAATATGGGCCCTTAGGGTGCGTTTGGAACCGGAAACTACTAGGGAAAGAAAATGAGAAAGAAAAAGTAAAGTAAAACATAAAAGGAAGAAATTGTGGAGGAATTGTATAAGATAAGTTAAAACTCAACATATTTATCATAGATATTTGTTAGTAACTCATTTTTTATGTGTCTATTATATATAGAAAGAAATGTAAATATATGAATTAAAGTTGCTCCGTATGATATAATTCTTTCTAAATTATGCATTATTATTTGATGTTAAGAGTTGCTCATTTTTTGTTATGTACTCCCTCCGTCCCCCTAACTTTGTCCCATTTTACCTTTTTCGTCCGTCCCATTAAGTTTGTCCCATACCATATTTGGCAATATTTGGGTGGTTACAATTCATTCTTACTTTATTCACACTTTATCAACTCAACACCAACCACACAATTCCACTTTTTCTTAAAATTTGTGCCACACTTCTTTGTCCCAAACATAGTGGGACGGAGTAGTATTTGACTAGGAGTATGAAATAGGTTATATTTATAGTATGTATTATTATTGGTTTATCATGGTAAGATGCATGATTCAACCAAACATATTATGTCAGAGAGAAAGAGTCATGCTTAACAAAGTACAACATTTTAATTTTAGTTAGAATAAATTATTCTTTTGGTCCTACGAGTATTAATACAATACCACCTTCATTAATGTGTCTATTTTTTCTTGCCCACCTGTGGTCCTTCCCTCTATATTTTTGGTAGGTGTCAAAAATTTGGCTCGAAAGAGTACGGATGTGCAAGAAAGTATAGTCATGTACCAAACCTGGGATTGACATGATACTCAGTATGAACATAAGTGTAATCAATGCTTTTAGTAATGCACACCTGTTGGATAATGGATATTTCCATTTTGTAAAAGTTACATAAAAATAATGAAAATTAGCTTCAATTGTTCATATACGACCCTTTTTTGGGACAAAATGAAAATTTCAACAAGACTCTTCTTTTTGGGACAGAGGAAGTTATTTTTTTTTCTATTTTATGACTTACAAATAAAGATTAATTAACAAGACTATTCCTACTAACATAAAATTTAGAAACAAAAATGTGATCTAAATTACTATGAATATACCATCACAGTCACTGCTATATAAAATTAAACATAATCATGGTCATTGAAGTTACTATTGTAGTCACCTATCTGGCATTTTTTCCCACTCTTTATTTAGTCATCTTTATTTAAAAAGTCACATTTTTTCCCACTATCTTTATTTAGTCATCTATTTGTCATTATTTCTAAATTAATACAACAAAACCCTCCCCTTCCCTCCAAAACCCTCCAACCAAACAAGGTTGAAATGTTCATTCAAATTATTTCTTTTCAATTATTATTATTCATGTTTCTCAGGTTGGTTCCTGTGTACCAGCATCCTCAGCAAAACTCCATGTGCTAGACGGTATCTACACTCGGTTGGGGGCATCTGATAGCATCCAACAAGGAAGAAGTACATTCTTAGAAGAGCTGAGTGAGACTTCTCACATTCTAAAGAATTGCACGGCCAACTCATTAGTCATAATTGACGAGCTCGGTAGAGGCACAAGCACACATGATGGTGTTGCAATTGCATATGCTACGTTGCATCATCTTCTGGACCATAAGAGATGTCCAGTCCTCTTTGTCACACACTACCCCAAGATTGTTGATATCAAGAATGAATTTCCCGGAAGTGTTGGATCGTATCATGTTTCTTATTTGGCATCACAAAGAATTTCAAACAATAAATCAAATGAGAGATCTGATGATGACATGATGAACGATGAGGATATCACTTATCTCTATAAACTTGTTCCTGGTATCTCTGAGAGAAGCTTTGGGTTTAAGGTTGCTCAGCTCGCACAGGTCCGTTTCCTCTTAGATGCATATGATATGTGTCATTAGCGCGCGCACTCGTATATCCATTTCTCATGTGAATGCAGAAAAATTCTCCCTTGCCTTCACATTTGGTTTGGGTATGTTTGGATCTCAGAGAATGCCTAGGGTAGGAAACAAAATGTCAAAAGTTTTTGTTTGTTTTTACGTTGAGAATTGGAATGGAAAATGAATATGTTTAATTATTTTAAAATTCTATGTGTACAGATTTCTTATTTGTTATGTCGTAGGATATACATAAATAAAATGAGCTTAAACATGAGTCAAAAATAAATTTATTGAGTTATGGTGTATCTTTTTTATTTTCCCACAAAGTTACAAATTTCCGCTATGTTTTCCTTTCTATTTTCATTCTCTAGAATATCCAGCTTCCTGAAAAAGTGAACGGAAAGTGTAGGATGAATGTCAAATGAAAGAAAATGCATGAGAAATATTTGCCACAAATTCTTCCAAATTTTCACTATGTTATCCTTCCCATTTTCATTCCCCAAAATTTCCTACTTCCCATACGAACCTTTTTGGTATGTTTGCAGCTCAGAAAACAATTTACCATAGCATTTCCCTCCCTTGTCCCAAGCATTTTTGAGATCCAAACATACACCTTCATAGTTTCATGTTTAAGCAAAATATTGATAAGCTGAAACTAATTAAAAAGGAATTCGTATAAAGAAAGGGCTTCGAACAAGAATAGAGAAGGAGATGACAAGAGAGTGAACAAGAAGGAAAACTTGAGTATTATTCGAATGTTTCAGCTGCCTTGATTACCATGAGGCTATTCTATTTATAGGAAAAGCAATTAAAGCTCTAATGATGGTTTTTTCCGTTATTGACGGATTGGCCATCCGTTACGTACCGACGGATTCAAATCCGTCATAAAGGCTGGTCAAACACATTTAATACCCTCCTTAATCACATTAAGGAGCCTAATAATGTACAAAAAACGTTACAATATTTAAAAATGATATTCTTGACGCTTCAATGACTCAATTTGTCTGTTTTGGCGGTTTGACGTAATGGTTCCGACCCGTCGTCGGTTTCGCAACTCGTCATCAATGCTGGCCAGCTCAAAATAAGTAACCTCCAGCCTTAATATCGTTGATAACTCCAGCAATAAACACAAATCCGTTACAACAGCCATCATTAAGCCTCTTTAACTTTTGTGATCAACTCTCTTTAATGCAAAATATATTGCCAAATAATTGCACTAACATTTCACATATCTAAGACAGTTCTTAAAAAAAAAGATTTAAGAGTACTTATTTCTGCCAAACTGATGTTTTTGGTTTGCAGCTGCCAACCTCATGTATTCGAAGAGGAATTTTCATGGCGGAAAGATTAGAAGCAGCTGTACTTAACAGAGGACATAAGTTGTTTCTACAGGATTGCCACAAAGAGCATGAAAGAGTATTGGAGCCTGAGGAGTTTGTCAATGGGTGGAAGAATTTTATTGGAATGATAAACTCAATAATGGTTGAAGAAGGTGATGGTGAGCCGAGGGTACTCCAATATCTTATGAATGCTAAAAGCCTTGCAATCGAGTTGTTAAAGACCTAAGATAGACGATGTCAAATTTTTAGCCTTTTTGGTGCTGCTGTATCTTGGCATAGTGGTATGTAAACACTAGTCAAATTAGCAATTTGGGTTAATAATAATCTTAGGACCCAAATCCAAACCATAAAACTTTTAGAGTAACATAATGTTTCATGTTTTCTCGGGTATCAACTTCTGAAAATCAAAGCTGTACTAATTCTAGTACTAGTTAGGAGCTGACTTGAACATAATGTTTCAATAAAGTTCACAGAAAAAAGAAATTGCTCAAATTAAGAGTAACATGAAAAAAAACCAAGTATGTTTCATCCTATTAAAAGACAAACAATATAAACTTTTCAAATTAGCTATGAATGAGTCATACATGGGAGCAAATTCATAGTACTATTTGAGAAATGTGATATGAAAAGTCAGTCCTGGTTCAAAGACTTTTAAGTCATCCTCACAATTTTCAACAGTTTATGTGATGCATTAGATGATTAGAGTAACTGATATGTAAATGGGAGAACACAAAACCCATTTGAAGTCATCATTGTTTTGATTTGAATTTGGGAGGAAAAGGTGAAAAAATATAGGTTATGTTGGCATCACCACACATTTTCGACAGAATGTTCCGCATAAAAAATCTGAGTCGTAACAACATATATGACACCACGAAGTAGTCATATATGGTGGCTCTTTAAAAAACTGGGAAATGATAGCAGTTGCCCATCAAAGCATGATCAGCCTGCATTTTAATTAGAAATTGCAAGTTAACAGGCCATTTCCTGATGTAGCACTAATTCCTTTATACGAGTACTGGACAAGACACGGTCTCAATGTACCGGACGGGTGAAGAGGCAGACCGTTAGCTTGTAATTGTGGTTTTGAACCAAAATCGATATCCAAAATGGGTTCCAAACCGATTCTGGTTTTGAACCAATTCTAGCTCAAAAGTTGGATCTTTTCTTATCACCATTTGATATTATTTTGATCAGGTTCTGACATTGAACTTGACTAGACCAATTTCTTCCAACTCGAGTTGTAACAGTACAAATAATAGATCAAGATATGGTCAAGCCAGAACCGTATTATGTCCTGAGGTCCTACGAGATTCAGTTTCAATTCTTTCAAAAGATACCTTCATGGCTTGGTAGCTGGTTCGCATTTTTTAACACCGTTTAATTTGCTTGAAAACCAGACGTAGAACATGCAAAAAATTAATCAGGGAACTAGATGTAGAATAGGCGTGGACCATGGTCGGTCTGGTCCCAGTTCTGGGTCAAGACCACCCAGTCCTCAAAATATTCAAGTAGACCGGGCCCAAACTACTATATTTTGGGTCTAGACTAGTTCTGGATACCCGGGAGGTCCAGTCCCGGTCCTGGACCCAAACCTATTTATTTAACCGGTTGCAAGCTATAAAAAATATTGGCCGATCTAGGACCGAAACCAGGACTGCCTCGTTCGGTCCCAAATATTGAACCCAGGACGGGGACCGTCGGTTACCCGGTCTTGAACTGGGACCGAAATTACAGACTCGGTCCACTCCCACACAATACCGGATCAGGTCCACCCCCTAATGTAGAACAACGGGTCCAGAAGTGTATCGTGCCCCATCTCTAATATGAACCCAATACAATCAGGATACATTACTTTCTCCATAACTACTAGAAAATAGAAATGAACATAAAAATGTGTTCAATAGTCCTGCAGAGATGAGAAGGGGGGATGTGCCAAAAGTGGAGCATCACCTACCCTTTCCTCACCAGATTGATCACCTATGAGGGGCTAAAATTGTTATACAATGGGGAATAATAATTAGTTTTTGCATGCTCTATAAACAAACATCAATCTTTCTTCTCATCACCACCACCAGATGTAACAGTGGTGGTTTCAGCCTGCGGAGCAGCTTCAGATGGTGCATGATCTACTGGCTTAGAACTCTCAAATGGACCATCTTCCACAGGATTAACAATTCCGCCAGCTGTCTCAGAAGGCCCCTCACGACTAGAACTACTGCCATGATCACCGCCTTCAGGCGCTGTAGCCTTGACAGTCCCAACCTTGACATATTTGCTCATGAATTTGTATTCCCAGTCACGTAAAGCGTCAATCTCAAATGCACCCAGCCCAGAGATGTCGCCCGTGAGATCTTTTTCCTCAAAGGACATCTTAGCAAGTGCCCTACTTGCATCTCTTCCTGCAAACAATGCGTATGGCCCCCCAGGCCCATAAAACACTCTGCAGCATTCAAGAATGTTACATAGGATCAACCAGCTTCTCCAATAAAACAAGCCGTTTTATAGTAAGAAGAAACCACACCACTCCATGGAATAGAAGATAATGAATGTATTACACTCTTACACCAAAGTAAACTAAAAATAAGCAAGTTTAGCAATTATTTGCATGTCAGCAATGTCATGCCAAGACGTTTTTTGCCTTTACCAAACTTCTTGAGAATCTAACCTTTAAGAGGTTTTTTGCCTTCGATAAACCTCTTGAGAATCTAACCTTTATACAGCAGTTTTAATTTTTTAGCCCAACAAACCATATGAACTATGAGTCTAGACACCTCCAGTGAGTACACGGTGGGTGAAATAGGAATAATTTTGATATAATAGGAATTTTGTCTAGAGGCAGACTTATGTTTTGCCCAACAAGGCAAGACTTAATTCGGAATGACAAAACTCAACAAAAAGGAAATGCCAATCCAGAGTTCAGAATTGTGTGAGGTTAAAATATGTTCCTTTTTTTTATATAGACATTTAGTAATTGTTGACTAACCCTTTTTTCGCAGCCAAACTTTTATATAAACTATTTTTTTATTGCAATTATCAAAATAAGAAGTAAAGGTTTAAATCTTCTCATATTTTTTCTTTATTTTATTATGTAAACACATTTGAAATATGATTACATCATAATCCAGCTATTTCAGTCAATTTTTGAGTGACCAAATAGCTCTTATATAACAGTAATAGAGAGATCCAAAGCTAAAGCAAAAGAAAAGGGTCTTTTCACAAAAGAACATGAAAATTCAAAACCGGAACTTTAACTATCGAAGAGATCAATAATACGGATTACTCCGTATAACATAAGATGAAAGGCAAAGAAAGGTTGCCTGCTTTGAGAAACATCATAGATCTGGCTCTTGATGGCCATGAGCAAAGGCTTCTTGGGATCAGACCCGTCGTACTGCCTCAGCTCCTCCTCTGTGATTTCCCCGACCTGAACTGGCGGCGGAAGAGGCTCGCCCTTCTCCTCGTACTGAAAGGACCTCCCACGGTCAGATGATCCAAAGAGACCGGAAGCCACATAGTAGATTGCAAGACCCAGAGCAGAAACTGTGAAGAAAGTTGCCGGGGATAGACCTGTGTATGTGGTTATGGCGGCTTTCAATGTCTCCCAGAGTTCTAGCGCCATCGTCGTTGAAGAATGATTGAGAAGAGGAAAATGGCTCAATGGCTCAAATGCTCTGCTAAACCCTTTATTGTGCTAAGGATGTGACAACTTTTATAAAGTAAAAAAACTTCTTTCCCAATCTTTTCATCCTCGGGTCAAAAAGCAGACGCATAACTAGACCTCACCCCGGTTTTCGGTTAAACCAGAATGGGAATAGGAATCGTCGATCTTTAGAATGTTTTGGGACGGTTTTTAGTTCGAGACCTGACCCGTTTAGTTCTGCCCACATCTGATCAGTTTAGATCACACCAGACGTGTCTTCTTTAGTTATACAATACGCAAAGACTAGACATTTACCATACTAGTTCAAACCAGTTCAGATCAGACTTGAACAGACCATACTAGAGCATAACATCAAATTTGAGTCTAAGTAAAAACATCCTTAGAACCAGAGATATTCTAGTCCGGTTCGATTTCCCCAAAAATTGAAACCAAACTGTCGATTCCGGAACCGGACAGTTCCGATTTGAAACTTCTTTTTTTAATTAATTATTTAATAATAATATTAATAACACTATTAATTTTAACAAAATAATAATAATAATATTAAATTATTAATTGTACTAAGAATAGAAATAGGAGTATAAGAGTTACTCCGTAGTTATTACTACGGAGTTACCTATAGAACAACTATACAAATTAAAATATTTTTATATTAAAATTATTAGTATTAACTATTAAGTATCCATGATTTATTAATAACTAAATCAATTTAGAACAATAGATTGTAGGATTTTACAATCTAATTTATAATTACTTAGCTATTAAGCCAAATACTTCGTGATCTGATGACATTTTTGTTGATCTCCGTAAGAGAAGGTCGCATGTTCGAGTTTCATCGCAATCAAGGATGTTGACATTAACAAGAGCAAATAATATAATAGGTTTAGAAAAATTTTTCAAAAAAAAAACTACATAGCTATTAACAATCTTATTTTTGTATATAGTTTTAACAATGAGAGACATTTATTTTTGTAAATTCTTCTGACAACTCTTTTATTGGTTTATTTAAAAATACTAAAGTCCAATATCTAAAAAATAAAAAAATAAAAATGAAACCAAAAACCGAATCAGAACCGGACCTGTTTGGAATTGGAACCGCCGGTTTTAGAACCGGTATTGTGCGGTTCCGGTCCCCTAAATTTGGAACCGTGAACCGGCGGTTTGATTCCGGTTTCGGTTTGGTTCCGAACCGGGGATAATTAAGTCTACGCATATAGGTCGTGATATAATTATTTTTAAGCAATTATCATCCATAAACAAATTTGACATTTTGAAATCATTTATTTTAATAATATGATTGAGTATAAAAGTAAATTTCTCAAGATATCTAAATCATGCGAAAACATTAATTATTTTCCATCTATTTGACAATTAAATTTATTTCTAAAGAAGATTTTACACATGAATAATTATAACATAAACGACTTACGTGTTTTTAAAAATTACAGGGGACTAATGTGCCAACTTTATACTTCCTCCGTCCTTATTTAGAAGTCTTGCATTCCTTTTTGGATCGTCCTTTAAAAAAGTTTCATTTCTTTATTTAGTGAACTAATAATGTCCAAACGGTGCGGGTGCCAAATAGAGTCACTTTTTAATATGTGCGCAAAAAGGAAGTGAGACTTTTAAATAGTGATAGAGAGTATATCATTAGGTTTTGGTGCATTGAACTAGACAAAAACGAATTCTTTGGGAAAAACTGTGGGATAAGCCCCACACATTTCAATCACACACAAAAATATCTTATCTTGGGAAAAACTGTGGGATAAGCCCCATACTATACTCACAATGGCGATTAAGCCCTCATATTTTAAAAAACATTCAATTGAAAACTTGAACTATTAAAAATGGTCAATTAAACTTTTTAGCCGATGGAAATCCAATTTCCCGGTTAAGTGCCCGCTCAGCATTTTCTTTTTTCTTTTCCCTTTCTTTTTCTTTTTCTCGTTTGCTTTTCCTCTTTTTTTTTCTCTTTTCTTTTGAGTATTTTTATGTCACTAGGAATAAGACTTTTTTATATATCGTAAAACATTCGGATTTATATTAAAATCGAGAACGCATACAAGACAATCTTTAGATAGATTTTACAGATCTAATCATGAACCCTAGGAGTAGACATAGAATCAGTCACCTCATACAAAACAACCTGACTCACTAAACCTGAAACGGGCAAATTTAAGCCTAAAACGAACGGATCTGAAACCTTGACTATCAAAAGAACACCAAAATCCAAACATTCAAACCAAATCTACTCGGACTAAAACAAAAACAAATATTACTAAAAAAATAATAATATTGAAATAAAATCTTTCCACAAAACTTTTCCTGATATGAAGCTGATTCTGGAGGAGGACGAGCTCTTGCAGTATGAGTGAATACCAACTCCATCCCTATGAGTGAATTCCAGATATGTTATGAGTGGATATAATTTTATTTTATTCACCAATGTGATAACACTTCTCTTTTTCTCAACCAATATTCATTATCAGGATTTCGGAATGGACGACGCCTATAAGTCGTAACATATCTGGAAGGAAACTTCTCGAAAATCCTTAAATACCACAATCTCCCCTCTTTAAAATTCTTTTCGCATTCTTGAACTTTCGTCTATTTACTGTACCTTCCAGCTGTTTCCATACCTAACCCAAATAAGTACCATCCACCCGTCCGAACCTTCTAGAATTACCATTCATTCCCACCCTCCTCGCCACCACCCTCCTTTCCCTCCCTCTCCACCACCTTCATCGACGGCGTTACTCTGAACACCAGATCTGCGCCACTTACTTCTTCAAAGTTCGTCCCGCTCTTTTAATTTATCTTCTGAAATTTGGATTCAATTTACTTTTGATTTATCTGTTAATGGTTTCTGTTTCGATTCAGGTACGGTTTAATATCATCTATGGGTCCTCCGTTCCCGGCGGAGCGTAACGGAGGAGAAGCAACCGTCAGCGGAGAGGCGCAGAGGACGACTCCGACGCCGTTTCTGACGAAAACGTACCAGCTCGTCGACGACCGTTCCGTCGACGACGTTATCTCATGGAACCACGATGGATCTACCTTCGTCGTGTGGAATCCGACTGAGTTCGCCAGAGATTTGCTCCCCAAGTATTTCAAGCACAACAACTTCTCCAGCTTCGTCAGACAACTCAACACATACGTAAGTTCTGAATCCGTTAATTTCGCATCGGAGGATTTTGATTTGAGGCCAGCGGAGGATTTTGATTTGAGGCTTTAATGCTTTAATTTTAGTTGATTAATTATGAATTTCAGGGATTCAGGAAAGTCGTGCCGGACCGCTGGGAATTCGCGAACGATTTCTTCAAGAGAGGTGAGAAACGCTTGTTATGCGAAATACAGCGTCGCAAAGTTGCGACGGCAGCGGTGGCTGCGACAGCCACCGTTGTCGCCTCTGCTGCGGTCACGGTGGTCGCTCCCATGCCCGCACTTCCCCTAAAGACGGTATCGCCGTCGAATTCGTGCGAAGAGCAAGTTGTATCCTCCAATTCGTCTCCCGGAACAGCCATCCGGGAAGCAGCCCGTGCAGGCAGCACGGAGGAGCTCATCGGAGAGAACGAACGGCTGAGGAACGAGAACACGCGGCTCAACAAGGAGCTAAGCGAAATGAAGAAACTCTGCAACAACATATACCAGTTGATGTCGAATTATTCTACCCCGGAAAGCAGCTCGAGACCGATAAAGCCGCTGGATCTTATGCCGACTACTGCCGCTTGCGGCGGAGGGACCGAACAGGATCCTGGCGAACCGAGAGCAACAATATTTGGAGTTCCGATCGGGTCGAAGCGGGCGAGGGAGGTTGAGCATGGATCGGCGGAGCAGGATAACGAGCTGCGGCTGCAACCTCCTTTGGCCGCGGTGAAATCCGAGCCATCGGATCCACAAAACGGAAAAGAGTCGTCGTGGTTTAGACATTGCCAAAGACGTAATCCAAAGGGGGTGTGATTAGACCGCGCCGATCGACAGATTAGATTAGAAGCGGTGGCGTACGCTGTACGAGGAGAGAGGCATGTGCTATAATTAGTCACGTTGTTTTATCTAACCTGCGTTTGAAGCTTTTCTTTTCAATGTGGTTTAAAGTATATAAACCTCGGTTAAATTTTAGTTAGCCACTTTTTCTGCTGATGAATAACTCAATAACGTAGTTCTCTGTGTGGAAATCCGAAATATCTTGGTCGCACAGGTAGTGTAGTGTTTTTTTTTTTTTTATGGTTAGTGTAGTGCTGTTGTACAATCACTATACAATTGTTATTGTTATTCTAAATAAATTATTTTATCCTATCATTTTGAAGAATGAGGTAAGAAAAATTGAAATGTGATTACTGCCGCAACAAATACGGATTAAATTGAAGCGTTATTGTTACTCCGTCCTAAAAAAAATGTGAAAATTTTGATGGACGATGGTAATGCAAATAGTGAATGTTAAAGTAACTATTACTCCGTATAAAATGAGTGTAATAATGTACTAATGCATATGTCGTGTCATGCATTTGGAAATCAAGATATTCTTTATACGGTTATACCGAGTATACTCCGTATAATTTTTACAAGTACAATATTCTAACGGGAAATTTGTTAAATTAGTCCCGTAACTTTTGGCCGTGCCCGATATTGGTCCTCTAACTTCATTTACTTGCATAATACGTCCTCTAATTAACACATTTGTCCAATTTCAGGACATTTATGCCGGAGAGTAATAATTCCGCCGGAAATTAACACATCAGCGCCACCTGCTCATATTTTTTTCATATGACCTAGCTGACCTGGACTTGGGACCCTATTTTTTTCAATTTATTTCTTATAAATTCCAAATACGAAAGTGTAAAAGTGAACATACTGAAAACACTGCACTTCAGGCTATTTTTTAAAAAATTCTTAACACTTTTCAATTTTAAAAGCCTCGATTTGTAACTATAGAAACGGTCCAGGTAAAAGACAACTCGTTAGTATTGCTAATCAACTACTCGTATTATTCTTGTTCCAATATAATGTCTTGTTAGAACCTTTAACATTAGAAATTCTTTTCTTGTATATCAAAGTAATACTCCATCCGTCCCCTTTTAAATGTCCTGTTTTACTATATTGGGATGTCCCTGATTAATTGTCTCATACCTTATTTGTTAAAATTTGTGTGGCTCAAAATCATTCTTACTTTATTCTTACTTTATCAATTAATATCAACCATACAAATCCACTTTTCTTAAAACTCATGTCACCCTATTCCAGAACATTTAAAAGGGGACCGAGGGAGTACTACATATAAAATCTTTAATATTTTCAAGCAAAAATCGAAACCATCAAAATTAAAAGACCGGCCTTCTGGAATATATCCTTGCCTGAGCCATTATTTGCAGTATTAACACAAATAAATTGGTACATTTATTCAACAATTTATTAAGGAACATTTTCATTTAATTACACGAAACACGAATTAATAATTAGAATAATCTATCCATGATGAGCTGTGAGCCACCGCAAGCCTCTGCACTCTTCTAACGGCATACCCACGTATGTATGTGAAAATGTTCCTTAATAAATTGTTGAATAAATGTACCAATTTTAGAGGAACACACTCACCTTCCTTCAATATGTGGAGACGCCAGACCAAGAGTTACGAAGCCTCCGTTATTCTCTTAAGTTTTGTGCTTTTATTGTTCTAATGGGGAGTTTGGAAGAGCATGGGAGAGCACAATGAAGTGTTTAGGAATAAGTCGTAAAGTGGGGCCCACATCCATGTCACCTGCAAAAGTTAGGAAAAGATACAATAGCGGGAGATAGACATGTAACTTTCCGGCCAAAATTTAACTTTCGGACGTCAATGTCCTGAAATTGAACAAATATATTATTTGGAGGATGTATTTTGCAAGTACATAAAGTTAGAGGACCAATATCAGCTATAGGCTAAAATTACAGGACTGATTTAACAAATTTCCCTATTCTAACTCTGCCCATATGGTTAAGGCAATTTGAACGTACCATAAAATTTGTTAATTGTACTATCATTATAATCACTACTTTTGTAATAGTATTACCATTATAACTACTATTACAGAATTGATAAAGTAATAAGAAAAAAGTAAGAATGATTTAGTAGCACATAAATTTTATCAAATTTGATATGAGACAGTTTTAATGAGACGAACCACAAAGGAAGTATGTTATTACCTAAGTATGTTATTACCTCCGTCTCACTAAGTTTGGGACAATCGCCCCACTAAGTTTGGGATAATTTGATTTACGATACTTGACCGACGATAAAACAAACAGATCTTTGTCTGCACTTAAATTATTTTTAGAGAAAAAAATTACATATTCAAAAACCGAAAGCTTTACAAAGTCGCAAAAATCAGAATCAAATTTCATAAAATTTGATATATAAAATAGGAGATTAAGAGTGATTTGTGTTGATCAAGTGAATAGTGTCTGAGACAATCTTAGCGGGATGGAGTATAATCTTAATGGAATTCAGGGAGTACTTTTGTAATTTTCTAGATCTTTTTTTGTTATTTTTTACATTGTATTACAATTTATGCTCAAAGAAAAAGGACTTTGATGATGTACAATTTACATATAATACATCCCATTAAAAGTAGTCTCATGATTTACAATTTAAAATATTGTGTAGTGTTGCTGAAATGCAATTAAAAGTAATGATCCAAAGAAAGTGGGACTTGTAAGGTGTGATTGAGGTATTGATTACTCAATCCAAAAAGGTGTTAATCGTCCAGACGTTTTCACATTGTGGCTGTGGGGAATTGAACCTAAGACCTCAATTCAACAACCACCGTTGAGCTACTCATGCGGGTTTGAGGAATGGATTAATAGATCACAAAAGAGGAGCATACAACATTTTTTTGTAGATAGACTCAATAGATTAAGTTGGTATTAGAATTATTGGTATCCGGGAAACTTGTAAATTTATTACATGTTTAAGAAAAAATGGAATTTAGATTAAATATATTTTATGATAAAATACATTATTGTTACTGTGAGAAATTCTTTAAGATCTAAGACAATAAGACATTCTATATAAAAACTAATCGGCTCATCTAACTTGGTCTTTCTTGCGTTATCCTGTGTTTTAGAAAGGCTAGAGTATTTGGAGTCTTCAATTTTGAAGTCTTTGGGGTATTAGCCATTAGGTTTGATTTAATTGTGAAGTTATCTTTAGGGGTTTTGTGGCAAACTGTGCAAAGATTTTACCTTTACTTCATGTGGCAAGATTTCATGCCTTTTATTTTAGGAAAAAATTATAATAATACGCCAAACTTTGAAAATTGGAATTTAAATATGCCAAACTTTATATAAAAAATTATTTTCGCACCATTGACACGTAATATTTATTTCAAAAAAAGCAAATTTATCTGGTTAATTGCATGATTTAAAATAACAAATTAAAAGTGTTGCAATTATATAGATTGAGGGTAACATTATTTATTTTGAAATGGAAGTTTAGAATGTTAATTGTGTCTTCATGAATTCTAAAATATTTTACATTATGCAATTAACACCATAAATTTACAATTTGGAAAGAAATAATACTTCACTATGGTGCTAAAATAACTTTTTATATAAACTTTGGGGTATTTAAATTATATATGCATGTTTGGGGTGTTCATCTCACACCCCTTCAAAGTTTGGAGTATTTTAATTATTTTTCCCTTTATTTTATATAATTGAATTTGAAGTTTTATTATATTGGATTGGGGTAGATTTGATTTCTATAATTTGATGGTCCCCCTAATATGAGACAGATGAGAGTGGTGTGATTTTTAAGAAAAGTAGAATTATGCAATTGATTATTTATTGATAAAGTGGGAATAAAGTAATAATAAATTAGAGCTACACAAATGTTACCAAATACGGAGTGTGGTATTAGACAATAATAGGGGGACATCCAAAAAATAAAAATGGGACAATAATTATAGGGCAACGGAGGGAGTATCATTTCTTAGAGTTACATATATAGGGGAGGGAGTACATATATACCCCTGTAGTATATGTGTGAGAACAAATATATCTTTGTTAATTATGGAGTATATTTTTTGGAACAAATATACTCATGAAGTTTATGTGGAAGATCATATATACCCCTGAACTTTTAAAAGATACAAAAATATCCATCATGTTCCTATAAAGGAGTAAATTTATCCGTATTGACTTAAATAAATAAAGTAAATTTTGAAAACACCAAAAACAAATTATAAATTAAAAATTAAAAATTAAGATTTATTTTTATGTTAAAATATTAAGACAGAGTAACTCTTTAATTTTAAATTTCAAAATTATTATTTTTCCAATGTAAACGAAGCACTTGAAATTCATAAATATTAATTTTAGTCTTACTGCGAGATTTTGAACACATTGTTACATTTTAAAATAACATTCTTTGATTTTATTTAACTTTAATTAAATTAAATTCAACATTTTGTAATCTTGGACTATTTATCATCATACAAAATATGTAATTTTGTAGTGCAAAGAATACAAAAAATTAATGCTTTTTATACATTTCATATGGTACAACTTTTTCTGAAAGCATCTTAAATATATAGTAAAGTTTTAAAATAATATTTTATACTAATAATATTAAATTGTGATATAAAAATAGTAAAAGGAAGTATTGAACACAAGTAGATTTTTTTTTTCAATTTCAAATCTATAATTTATTTTTGGTGTTTTTTGAAATTTATTTTATCTAGTTAAAGTCAACAAGTGTAAATTTGTTCCTTCATAGAAATATGAGGGGTACTTTTGCACCTTTTTAAATGTCCAAGTGTATATATGCATTTCTACATAAACTTCAGACGTACATTTGTTCCAAAAAACAAAACATGTATATATTTGTTCCCGCACTCATACTAAAAGGGTATTTGTATCTTTTTCCTAAAAACAATAACAATTAAGAAAATTGACTCTAATTTGCCAAAAAAAAATTACTCTAAATTTTTTATGTTATTCATTTTTATATACATGAATTTAATAGTTATCATATTTACATCATATGTTAATTCAAGCATTAATGCATATAATTCATGTGTCAAATTGTATCACACTTCACCGTATGATTGGATATTTGGATGTAGATACAAACCAATAAAGATGCCTTTTTTTTAAATAAAAATATGTTAGAATCTAGTATGCTCGAAACCATTAGCATCCTCCTGAAGCAGGTTCTCAATCAGATAGGTGCTTCGTAAAGTATTGAAAATCTTTTGTCTGATTCGTGAGCGGCATTAGCTACTGAATCCGTACAAGTGGTACAACTATTTCCTTCGCGAAAAGTGTGTTGGAATTTGATAAATCTTTCATCTGC